TGTAGATGTTTCATCACCAGCCGAGATGACAATATCAGTGCGTTGTGAGTACTTCCAGAGTGTCGTCGGCCCAGCCCCATCCCGGACTCATTTACTCTCTCGGGTGACGGTGACAGCCATCTACCACGATGTTATATATATATATATATATATATATATATATATGATAATAAATGTTTGAAATAATACCGCTGAACTCATAACCAATCACACAAACGATCTATCCAACATAAATTGACGACCAAGTTGTTATTAGTAGCTACATATTCAAGGTCAAGGTTTGAAACTTGGTACCGCAATGAAACTTCTTAAAACAGGACTGATTCGCGTTGTTGACAGTTCACATATATCCTTCGACAATAGGAATTCAGTACTGCAGTTCTAGTGGGATGTTAAATACGGAAGTTTATTCTTTACTAGTTTCGCTGGTCTAAACTATTTAATACGAGATCCCTCGCATTTCCGGTCTGCGTCCAACGGAGCTGGAGATGAATGTAGTCTTGGAACGACGGACGTTAGACAGATTAGTCAAGCATTTTTGGGTCGCAATATGATTCGTGTACGAATAGACTCAGACTATGTGCTGCAGGTGGTTGCTCTGTTGCGCAGCGACGGTTATTGCTTGTTGTGTTTCTTTAAAGATATAAGAAGTAACAGTACTTAAATTAGGTGAGCAGCGGCAACCGTCTGTGTCTAACAAAATCGAAAGTCGAGTCCAAACAAGTTTTATGTTGTGTTCACTGAATGACTGAATGAATACGCCAAATTGAAATGATCACCGACCCACATTAAGTGATGATTGCACTTCTCTACCTAGTTTGTCCGTTCAACTGAACAAAGCTCCCCAAAAGGGATACTATTCCACTAGGGATATTTTGGCCACTCCATCCAAAGAAATGTTCCAGGCCTCTGGATGGCTTTAGAATGGGCTAACCGTCCACAACTAGGTCATAACACAGTCACTGTCAAATGACCTAACTTACATGCAGCCGCTAGATACACATTGTTCATTAACTCCAACAATTCAATTACTAACTTCCTTTCACAAATTGCCTCTTCCTGTCTACGTATATCTATCCGCAAAATTCTCCAGGGGTAGTATGAAAAAATGCCGTTGCTATGTGCACAGTTAATCTGTGAGAACACTGTAAATAGCTACCAGCGTTCTCCTCTTATTTTTGAGTTGGATTGAGTCTGCTTGATTAGGAATGGTCACAAGCGTGTGTCAGCAGGTCCCCCTGTATAAGCAGCCAGTACATTCTTGCTAACTTACGTATCATCTTTACAGAGGTGGAGCGATAATCTGGAACGGGAGGCGATGAACGAAGCGGAAAAATGTATGATACCAAGGGAAACTGTTCCCGGAGAAATCCAAATATATTCGAGGGATGAAAATTTTGAGTAAGGCCAGATTCCGGAAACATTGAATATTTTCGCATAAATGAGAAAGCAGTTTACATATACAAAGCTTAACAGTTGCCTAATCCATATGTCCTACTGATGAGTCAGTCTAGGGTGCGTGGATTGCGTCCAGTTGTGAACCTTCAGTTGACTTTGAAAAGATACCATTATCTGCATGCTGAAAGAAGCCAATAGGTTTCTTCATATGTAACCTCTTCCATCCTGACATATCAGCAAATTATTATATGGAGGGTGAATGAAGCACAGATTCACTGACCTTAAGGTCCGTGGATCGAACCCGACCTCTGCATCTTGATTTCTGTCTAGGCTTGGACAACCTGGCGATTCCCAGCCCTCGTGCTTCCTTCGGCTGGAGTAGCAACTAGGAACCGAAGGGGTCTAACATCTGAACCATTATCCTCATTATATAGACAGACAGGGCCATTTTACTTCTCAGCATACGTGGGGTTATGCGGTAAATTCTATCGTCATACAAACGATCTAGATGTGGCTGAGAACATAGGCATTGATCTAGGCCCTGCCAAGGTCCGCACCTGCAGAGTTGTCTAGTTTCCAAAGCAACTCAGAATAATACGTCAAATTTTGCTATTTTCATATTGCTTTTGACCATTCAGTATAAAGCAGCATGACGTGTTCAAGCAGTAGATAACCCAAACCTTTCTTCCGAGTTCAATGACAGATTCGAATAGTTCAGGAGCCCAAAAATATCAAAGCGGAATCTGTCTTCCACTGGAATATAGGGGATTCATGTGTACAACAATTTACCTAAAGCGTAAGGGGGAAAACTCCTTGCCACGTAAATGTCTATTAGAACTAAATAGTTACAGCCTATTTGGCAGAAAAATCTAACTCTTATTTGCACCTCGTTTTTTAAAACTGAATGTACGTCTTCATAAAGGAAACTACTCACAAGGTCGCTGAAAACTCTTGAGCACGTCTTCTTGAATTCCCCAGGACAATCACGCAATTGTAAACGAAAACTACAAAGCAGCTCCACAAATTCCGTAATCAATGACACGTCCCATCCGATCAAGGCGAAGTTAGAAGAAAAGCCATACTGCCTCATCGGTAGTATCGCTCGTTACAAAGGAAGCAACTTAATTAAAACGAACTAGGAAAATTTAATTGCACCAGGCTTTCCAATACCAAACTTCACCTTTGATCTGCGTTTTTGCTTATGTTAGTACTTGTTTGTGAGGGCTATGAGTCTGGTGACGTTTGTAGCATGTTTTTTTAACAAAAACCTATTTGGAATCGTAATGTAACGTTCTGAATAAGTGAGAAAAACGAATAAACATAAGGACGTTCTTCAACAGAGGTGGTGTCAGCTCAAAAGTAAGCGAACTATTATCAGAGGTCTCGTAATATGCGTTTCCAGCACTGACGTGCCCATTGCAATTTAACGAGCCCAAAAAACAAACTTCTGGTTTTTTCGGTCTCTTCCAGGAGGGATCATCGTGAAAATCCACGATGACGCTAAGTGGCAATATATATATGCCTCGCCAATTATATCTATACATTCTCCCGCATGTTTGCAAACGGGAAACCAAACTGTCCAACATATCACATCTACAGATGAAATCCTTCAAGAATTAATGGCCTCTCTTTTTTCTCTACGCTATGTCTACAGTGTGGTCAAATACTGGTTCGATCAACATAAGCGATACAGCTACGGTCGATTTCCTACACAAAATGCTGTCCAGTCTTTGGGCTACACACAGGTAGGCCATTTTTTATGATCCAAAGAAGGCTTGCAAACAGTATGACCAGGATGACCGTTACTCTCTTTTTTCCGAATTCTAGCTTGTTTGGGCAAACACCCAAGAAGTTGGATGTTATCAATCGTACTGTCAAAACTTCTGGATGCAATCCAAATGGGAAGCAAAAGTATATTATACAGTTTGTCGTTACTGGCCAACGTACGTGCACCGTTTCTATTACTCCTGCGTATCAAGTGAACGAATTTTGATTCATAAGACTAATATATCGCTGTTTATTGCTGTCATTCCATTTCAGTGGTAATGTGAACAGTGAAGTGCCATATCAAAGTAAGCAAAGGCAAGCCAGTGATTTTCGAAACGCCGATTTTCACCACTTTACTCCAATAGTCGACTCACTACATACAAGGACTCAAAAGGTGGTGGTTGATAGAACCCTACCTAAATCCGTTACATTTCCTTTCAAAGCACAACATTGCACATTGTGGACGGTATATGAGAACCACTCACATCATTCTATCTGGTATGCCAGGATTCAGTGTTTATTCTAACGTCAGACATGAAATATCCCATCGTCGAGCAAGTGGGTTGCTGAAAATTTGTCAGCAACCTTATGTGTAGTGCAATACGAATAAATAAAACAAAATTTTGTTACGTGGAGTAATACATCCATAGGAACGCCTAAGTTAGTAGGATTATCCTACAAACCCCACTCATGGAATACGGGTCTCATGAGACGCTTTGTTGTTTGTCGTTTCCCATTGTATTTACTGATGTGCATGCAATCGTCATTCTCACAGAACGCGAAGAGATCCCATCCAGCAGGAGTAAGTGCATTGGTATTGATTTAGTTCTGTCATTAGCGGATTCACCTCATGGTCACCTAGTTGGATAATCATTGCGATGTCATCTGAACGTCGCTGGTGTCTCGGACAATGCAGCAAACCCAAAGAGGCGGAGAGTCAAGAGTCAATCTTATTGCATACGACCACATTGCCAGTTTTAGTGTGCCTGAGAACTGACGAGAGTCGACTGTGTTGCTTGGGAATCGTTTGACATAAAGTGTTCACATTTGTTGCAAACTGTAGTGTTTATCTTCATTGTCAAACTCTCGTCTGACAGGCTACGCATAGCCTCCAGTCGTTTCCGCGTAGCTGCCTAGACCATTCAGTTGTTTGGACCCTTTAGAGCCGCTCAGAAAATTGCGATTTAAACCGGGGCAAATCAGTTCACACTATTTTGGTTTCGGTTTGCATGTACCTGTCAGTTCACGTGATAGACGGTCGCACAAGTTAAAATCCAGGCAAAGTATGTTGAATGGTATAAGTCATTATAAACAGTTTTGAGGCGACAAAATCATTAGTATGACACAGTAAACGTATGAACCAGACAAAGGCTTAGTTGCGTAATTTGAGCAACAGTATGTCACAAGGCACACTCAACGAAAGGTACATTTATCTGGGAACACTGAAACACATGTTTAGGAACCTGTGCTGTCTGGATTAAACTATACAACGTACGCATATGTTACAGATCTCATGTGACCCTTTTACTGTTGTTTCGATATTACCATCACATGGATACCGTTGAAATGCCACTTCCATTGACTTCATCTGTAGACGAAAATGTTTGGTCACTTTGATGGTGTACTTTAATTTCCTAATTCCATGTATATTTTAGTACACCAGTGATACGCCCATATATCTTGATTTGCTCGCCAGTCATGAAGAATAACCTGTTTCCTATTTTATGTTTCGGTTACTACACTGGAACTGGAAAATACAATTGATTATCATTCTTGAATGTAAGCTTACAGTAAGATCGCGGTAAGGAACCGAGTTTGAGGTTGGCCAACCGACGGATTTTATCATCGGGTGCAAACACTTCGAATAGCTTGCATTACGCTATACATTTGGAATCGTTGACTTCCGTTGTTGAAACCCGCACTCCCCGGAAAACAAATCGGAGATCTGAAATTATTTTTAAGGTTCCGGCATCTAAGCTGGACATGACATCTTAGGCTCGTTCACTCGTTTCTCAGCACTCCCAGTACAGACAACACAGTTGTATGCCAAGCCTGATTTCCATAGGTTCACCTATTTGGGGTGTGCCGTGCTTCGGAGCAATCGCCTGCTTATTTAAACAGAGCAGAGTAAAAACTATTAAGCATTCACTTCCTAGTTATTTGGTGATCCAACCGCATTTAACATATTGTACTCAGTGTGCTGATGTTACATTAGAGGATTCTGAAAACGGATTTCGACAATGGTCAGTGTTATAGCATTCAGGGTTTTGGAACCTGAGTTATGCGACTAGCTTGGCTACCACTAACATCTTGGCCTCAGAAAGAGGTGTAAATAAGGACTATCCATGCAGCACACTTACGTACTGCTAGTTAAGGCAATCAAAAGTTACGCGTGCCTAGACCTCCCGTTTGTCCCTTGTCGCTTGCCTAACGTTTGTCACCGAGAGTTCAATCCAACCCAAGTGGATGTTTGGCTTCTACACCGCGCCTGGGGCCGATCAGATTCCATAACCGATCTCAATTCTTTCCAGTTGTTGTAACGCCTATTTTTCCAAATTGAAGCTTTGTAATTTGTTCCCTTCGCATGTTCTGCTTTCTGTGACTCGGTGAATGTACCCTATTCAGCATTTTGTATCTAAGCCCTGCAGGAGTGCTCAGTCTCATTTAATAAACGAAGGTCTGAGTGTAACGAAGGCTATCTCGCATAAATGCCGTCTCCAGGATATAAACTGAAAGCTGCGCGTGAGAAATTTACTAAAATGGAGAGATTACGGTTAAAGTTTAAGTCGGAAACCTATTGAAGTGTCCCAACTTCCATTAGACCTAATCTAACAAGTTTTATTTGCCATGCAGTACCTTCAAACCACAAGCGGACACTTGGTTCCTGTACATTTCCACTCTTTC